CCATTTCCCCCTCTCTCCAGCCCCTGGGAACCACTTTTCTATTGTTTCTGTGAGTTCAACTTCTTTGGACTCCACACATAGTGAGATCATGCAGTATTTGTCTTTCTGTGTCTGCCTTATTTCACTTAGCATAATGTCCTCCAGGTTCACCCATGTTGAAAATGGCAGGATTTCCTTCTGTTTATGACTAATAATATTCCATTGTATGTATATGCCGCATTTTCTTTATTCATTCATCGTTCAATGGGCATTTATGTTGTTCCCGTATCTTGGCTGTTACTAAATAATGTTGAAATGAACATAGGAGTGCAGATTATTTCTTTGAGATCCTGATTTCATTTATTTTCTTCTATTATTTTTTAAAAGATTTCATTTAGTCGTGAGAGACACAGAGAGAGAGGCAGAGACACAGGCAGAGGGAGAAGCAGGCTCCCTGCGGGGAGCCCGATGTGGGACTCAATCCCAGGACCTAGGATCACGACCTGAACCAAAGGCCACCCAGGTGCCCCCGATTCCATTTCTTTTGCATGTATACCCAGAAGTAGGATTGCTGGATTCATAAGGTAGCTCTATTTTCAATTTTTTTTTTTTTTGAGGAAACTCCATACTATTTTCCACAATGCTTTACTAATTTACATTCCCACCAACTGTATACAAGTATTCTCTTTTCTCCACATCCTTGCCAACATTTGTTATTTATTGTCTTTCTGAATATAGCCATTCTAACAGGTATAAGATGATATATCCTTATGGTTTTGATTTATATTTCTCTGATGATTAGTGAAGTTGGACATGTTTTCACATACCTGTTGGCTAGTTGTATGTCTTCTTGTTTATTAAAAGATTTTATTTATTTATTTGAGAGAGAGAGTACGAGCAGGAAGGAGGAGCAGCAGAAGGCAGAGGGACAAGCAGACTCCCCATTGAGCAGGGAGCCCAAGTGGGAGCTCTAACCCACGACTCTGGGATCATGACCTGAGCCAAATAGCAGATGTTTAACTGACTGAGCCACCCAGGTGCCTCTGTGTCTTCTTTTGAGAAATGTCTGTTCAGATTCTTTGCCCATTAAGAATATTTTTTGTTAAAAAAAGACAAGCAAAAAATTTTTTTTTGTTGGGGAGGCCTGGATGGCTCAGTGGTTGAGCATCTGCCTTGGGCTCAGGTTGTGATCCTGGGGTTCTGGGATGGAGTTCCACATTGGGTTCCTGTGTTGAGCCTGCTTCTCCTCTGCCTGTATCCCTGCCTATCTCTGTGTCTCTCATGAATAAATAAATAAAACCTTAAAAAAATTAAAAAAAATTTTTGTTGGATTGTAAAAAATAAAAAAAATTAATTTAAAACTATTTTTTGTTTAGTTATTAAGTTGTATGACTTCCTTATATATTTTGGATATCAAATATATGGTTTGCAAATATTTTCTCCCATTCTGTTGGTTGCCTTTTCACTTTGTTAATTGTTTCCTTTGCTGGGCAGAGCTTCTAATTTAATGTAATCCCATTTGTTTAATTTTGCTTTTATTGGCTGTGATTTTGGTCTCTACATCCAAAAAAATTGTTGCCCAGACCAATGTCAAGAAGCTATTTCCTATGTTCTTCTCTAGTAGTTTTACGGTTTCAGGTCCTATATTTAAGCCTTTACTCCATTTTGAGTTGATTTTTGTATATGATGTGAGATCAGGATCCAACTTCATTCTTCAGCTTTCAGTTTTCCCAGCACCCTTTACTGAAGAGACTACCCTTTCTCCATTTCAGTATTCTTGTCAAAGATCAGTTGACCAATGTGTGGACTTATTTCTGGGTTCTCTATTCTGTTCTGTTGGTCTTCATTTCTGTTTTTATGCCAATACCATCCTGCTTTGGTGATCATAGTTTTGTAATGAATTGTAAAATCAGCAAGTGTGATTTTTGCCCAAGATTGCTTTGGTTACTCAGGATCTTTTGTGGTTCCATATGAATTTTAGGATTGTTTTCTATTTCCATAAAAAATGCCATTGGGATTTTAATATGGATTGCATTAAATCTGTAGATAACTTTGGGTAGAATGGATACTTTAACAATATTAATTCTTCCAGTCTATGAAGATAGGATGTCTTTCCATTTATTTGTGTCTTTTAAAAATCCATTCATCAATATTTTCATAATTTTCAGTGTGTAAGTCTTTCAACTCTTTAAGTAAGCTATTTCTTATGCATTTTGTTCTTTTTGTTGCAATTGTGAATGAGATTGTTTTTTAAATTTCTCTTTTGGATAGTTGGTGTAAATAATATATTGATTTTTTTATGTTAACTTCATACCCTGCAACCTTGTTGAATTTATTATTTATAACAGGTTTATTGTTGTTTAGTCTTTAGAATTTTCTATGTATGATCATATCATCTGCAAATAGAGATAATTTTAGTTCTCCTTCTCATATATGGGTGCCTTTTCTTTCTTTTTCTTGTCTAATTTCTCTACTAGGACTTCCAGTACGATATTTAAAAGAAGTGGTAAGAGTAGATGTCTTTGCCTTCTGCTAGATCCTGGAAGGAAAGCTTTTAGTTTGTTTCTCCCATTAATTATGAGGTTGCTTGTAAGTTTTTCGTATTGGTGTTAAGATCCTTCTGTACCTATTTTTTTTAGGCTTTAATCATGAAGGGGGGTTAAACTCTGTCAATTGCTTTTTCTGCATCTATTCAGGTAATTATGTGTTTTTTTTTTCATTTGTTAACTTGTTATAATACCTTGGCTGATTTGCAGGTGTCAAACCATCCTTGTATTCCTGAGATAAATCCCACTTGGTCATGGTGCATGATCCTTTTAATGTGCTGCTGAATTCACTTCGCTAGGATTTGATTAAGGATTTTTGCATGTATGTTCAGCAAGGATATTGGCCTGTAGTTTTTTCTTGCAGTGTCTTTGCTACTTTTGGTATCTGGTGATATTGGCCTCATTAAATGAGTTTGGAAGTGTTCCTTCTTCCATTTTTTGAAAGAGTTTAAGAAGCATTAGCCTTAATTCTTTGAATGTTTGGTAGAACTCACCCATAAATCCATGGGTCCTGGGTTTTACTCTTTTGTTTTCCAGACAAACAAAACAGGGAGCTCATCACTATACTTACAAGAAATCCTTAATAGAGTTCTTAAAATTGAAATGAAAACTCATTAAACAGCAACATGAAAGCATAGGAAAGCATAAATCTCACAGGTAAAGATCAATATGTGGAGATATATAGATTAATGTAATACTGTAAAGGTGTCTATTGACTTTTATATTAAAGCAGGGAAGTCTTTGGGGGTACTCCTGTTCTTTTCCCCCACAGAAGGAAGTCATGGCCAATAGGATCTCTCATGGGTCTGCTTATGGGTGTACTTGCTGCAGCAGTGACACCTGTGTCTAGATGTGGGTGTGTGGGAAACAGCTATGGAGCTATGGAGCTCAGGCGCTTCCATCTGGAAGTTGGGTGGCAGCTCTGGTCTGGGAGGTGGGGTTCAGTGCACACTAGGGCAGATCTGGCTGGGGAAGGGGGTATAAAGCCATTTCTGTCCCCCTGCCCCCCAGCACCTAACACACATGGTAAAATTCTTAAGAAACATCAATATTAAGGAAGAGTTAGTTGAAATGTATAAATTTAAAGTAATTTAAATGTCTACCAATAATAGATTAATTAAACAAATTTTGATACATGCAAAGAAATAATCACTAGGCATTCATTAAAATCAGGGAGCATTGATTAAGTGGGTAGGAAGATGTCCACAGTCTAGCATTAAGTGAAAAGAGTGGTTATAGCACAGTTGTGGAAGGAGGTCATCACTGTGCACTGGGATGGTGTGGGGAGTCGTTGTGTCCAGGTTGAGCAAAAGGCAGGGTAAAGAGGGGTGCAGTATGATCTCCTCCTCACAAACCAGTTATGGGTTAGCAACGGATAACCCTCAAATGGTTAGCTCCTTTTGAGTGACAGACTATTATCCAGTGATGGTCCAAGGACATATTGGCATACCAAATTTGTTAATTAGGTGGTTTCAAAGTTTTTATTTTTATTTTTGTTTCTTAGCTCCAGACAATGCAAAGGTGAACATTTTACTACCTATTGCTTTTTTTTTTTCTAAAGATTTTATTTATTTATTCATGAGAGACGCAAAGAGAGAGGCAGAGACACAGCCAGAGGGAGAAGCAGGCTCCCTTTAGGGAGCCTGATGCGGGACTCCATCCCAGGACCCTGGGATCATGCCCTGAGCTGAAGGCAGACACTCAACTGCTGAGCCACCCAGATGCCCCATCTATTGCTTTTTAATATCTGTTTAATTACTTTCTTGGGATAAATTCCCAGGACAGTGATGGCTAAATTAAAGGTATTCAATAAATATCTCTGTGACAATAGGTTACCATTGCCAATTGTTTTACTAGAAATTTGAGCCCTGTTTTTACTTTGGAAACATAAATGTGTATTGGTGAGCCACTTACTTGCTGGAGAAATCACTGTTGGGTAGAAGAAAGCTCACTCTGCAAACTGAAAAAGTTTTCGCTTCGTCTTTTCCTACTCTCTCAAACCTTCAGGGACTCAATTACCTGTCCTTTGGCGCCGCCTTCTGGGAGAGGCACTCACCAGCCGGTGTGGCCCCTCCCAGGGAAATCGAGGGGCTGAGATGGGCTGAGAGAGGGGCACTTGTACGGAGCCCCCTTAGGGTAGGGTCACTCCCATATCACCGTTGGTAATTTTCTTACAACAAACCTGTTCCTACCACTTCTTTCTCATCTCCTCCTCATCACCCAATCCATTAAAAATCCTGTCAGCTTCTTTCTGGGCATAGGATATAAGCGCAGCCCTGGCTTGGCACCCAGGCCCCCCCCACCCCCACCCCCATGCTCTGTCTTCGCCCTGCCTCTCCAGCCTTCTCCATGCTTTCAAGGCCCAACTCAAATATTGTCTCTTTAAGGAATCTTCCTCAACTCTTCTCTAGGCAGCAAGTGTTCCTTCCTGGGCACCAAGGTACCTTGTTCATGCCATGAAACTAGTACTCTTCAGTGGATAATACCAGTGTGACTCTGTGCTCTCCCCACACTGTGAGCTGGCCTCATGTTGTACGCTCGTTCCCTAACCAGGTCCTGGAACACTGTGGGGACTCCAGAAATGTTTGTTGGATGAATTAATATGCTTTATGACTCTAGCGTCCGGGGGCTCAGTAATTGAGGGAGGACATCTGAGGAGGATGTATTTAATTTATGTGTCTGACCCTACCTAAGGCCTGGAGCTGGGAGGGTGAACTCTGAGGTAGAGAGACTGACATTATGACCTCCCGTGGTTCTGAGATGTTTCAGATCAGGCTCTGAGGGAAGGTGGGTCCCTGAAACTGGCTGAGTTAATTGTAGGAAGCAAGTGTCATGTGACATCATCTCAGGAATGCAATTATGGCTTAGTCGTGTTGCTGAAGAACCTGTGAAAGGTCAGGACACTGGCTGCCATAACTAGAAGCACCAAAGATGGGTAGGATGTAGGACTCGGTGCTTGGGCGCCTGCTTGCACTGATGCCTCCTGCCTGAGCGCTGGGAAATCTCTAGGACAAACCACAGGCTGGCACGGTGGTTTTCGAGCAACCCCATCCCGACAGCACAGGTCAGCACTTCTTGTGAGAATGGTGGAGGTGGGTGGACAGGCCTGGGTCCGTGCAGGTCTGAGAAAGCAGAAGTGGGCAGCTCACCTGTTTTGGAGAATGTGTGCAGTGGATGGATGTCCTAACAAGGAGGTCATGGTTCTCCAATTGATTTGAATCTCCACCTGGATCAGTTGTGTGATTTTTGGGAAATTTACTTAACCCTTTCATTTCTTCGTCAGGAAAATGGTGGGAATGATGTCTACCTCATAAGGTCACTATGAAGATTACATGTGATTCTCTGTATACAAGGCTTTATCCAGTGCTTGGCTGGCTCCCTAAGAGTTAGCCAAGGTGCTGCTCTCCTCTCAGTTTCTCCACCGTTCCCAGGTGCTCCCGGTCCTGGCCAGGGCCTTGCTGCCATGACACACAAGCCAATGGAGGAATCCCTCTTCCAAATCGTCCACTGCTACCACCAGTATGCGGCCCGGGAGGGGGACGTGGAGACTCTGTCCCTGGAGGAGTTGAAGGCTCTGCTTATGGACAATGTGCCCTGCTTCATGGAGAGCCTGGTGTGTGGGGTCTGGGGTCAGGTGGGGATGAAGTATAGGATTGGTTGTGGGGTTGGAAGTGAGTAGTGACGGTATGGGTGCAGGGAATTATCTCCCCTACTTGGGGCAGGGTTGGGAGGGCAGGGTCTGACAGAGGGAGGGTGGATCCGGCCCAGCTTTGTTTCTCCTCCTCTTTTTCCTAAAACTCCCTGCTGGTCCTTACTGCAGCTAATCCCTGAGACTTTGTCATTATCCCAGCCTGTGTATCCCTCTGCTCACCCTGTTTCTTAAGAGAAGAGGTCCTGAGTCTTTGCTCTGCCTGCAGCCCCATTCAGCCAGGGGCCCTGCCCCAAACCTGCCCTTTTAGCTCCCCTCCCAGGGACTAGCACAAGCTTCCTTATCACCACACCAGGGTGAGGACAGTTTGGGCAGAAGCCAGGTGGGGAAAGAAAATGTAGTGTCCCCTTCCAGCTGCTGTCTGAAGGGCTAATAGAGGCTCTTGGGCCAGCTTGGGGGCTCAGAAACCCTCTCAGGCCTGCACAGCTTCTCCATTCTCAGGCCCTATAATTACCAGGCGTCTTGGGGACTGGCAGGAACGTCTGGGGTAATGTCTTCTGCCCTCAGGGCCTGCCTGGGGGGGGGGGGTCTCTGGACCACCATCTCTAGAGGATTTCAGATCCGTACACTGACCAGAGGCCACTGCCTTCCAGAAGGAGCGCCGCCTCATTCACTTGGCATGTCCCCTTACTTACCTTTGGGAAACATCAGAGAGAGTCTTGCCCTCAGTTTATTGGAGTATAACCGTGAGGGTCACAGAGGGGACTAGGGCGACTGTCATCCAGGGCCAAGTGCCTAGACTGTGTGGCTGGGTATGGGACTGCCAGACACTGCCACGTGGGGCTCACAGCCGTGCCCAGGTACAGGGCCCTCAGGGACAGACAGTGGGCAGCCTGGGCCAGGGGATTGAGCTGAGGGGAGCCAGGGAGAGCCTGCTCATGCAGGAAGCCCCAGGGTCCAGGACCAACCAGTTTTGCAGAGGACATGAGAAGAGGTGAATTATGCTGGTGGGCTATAGGGGGAAACAGGAGGTGCAGACCTGCCCACAGGGATGAGGGTCACCCTCCAGACCCCTGGCTGCTGACAGATGATGCAATTTCCTTCCTGGGAGGCTTTCCAAGGACTTCACTCTGGGTCCCCACATCTACCAGCCAAATCCTGCTGAAACCAGCTCAAGGCCTTGCCTGGGGCTCCTGCCCGCTGACCCTGGCCTTCCTTCTTGTTGTCTCTTTTCACCTCAAGTGCTTTTGTTCCTCCCCTATAGCATCCCCGTTCCTCAGCCCTCCTGGCCACCTGCTCTGGGCCGTGCTGGACAGCCTCAAGGCCCACAACATTGTCTTTCTCCTCATTTTGCACTATCCAAAGATGACGTAGGCTCAGTGTCATAAACAACTCCTGGGCAGATGCCACAGCATGCAGACATCTGATCCTGCTCTTCGGGGGCCCCATAATAGTACTGGACATGCAGACATGAGGGGCAGGTGGGCTGTGCCTGAGGAGCTCTCTGTGTGAAGGAGGGGGCACAGCCCTCCACCCTGAAGCCCCTGGCCTGGCTGTCCCTGCAGGGCAGCTCCTAGGGCCGCTGGGAAGATAGGCTTGGCAGCCACCGACGGTGGACAGATGTATCAGGACACCCCAGGCCACTCAGCACAGCTCAGCAGCTGGTGGGGGTGCCCAGGCCGTGCAGTCCACCACATAGCCCCAGGTCTAGTGGGCAGAGGGCCTGCCACATGTCCCCTTGGAGCCTGATTCTGCCCCACATGGTGACCTGGCCTCTGCCTGAGGGAGGGGCTGTGTCCTGCAAGGTGGTGGAGGCCCCAGTGGCTGTGGGGCGGGGGGCCTGGGCAAGTGGTTGACCCTCTGCCCCTCCTCAGGGCCGGAAGGAGCCCCACTACATCTCAGAGTTGTTCCGGGCTGCAGACAAGAACAAGGACAACCAGATCTGCTTCGACGAATTCCTGTTCATCCTGGGCCAGCTCCTGAAGGATTACCACCTGCTGTACCACCGGCAACTGTGTGCCTGCTACTGCGCCCGGCACAGCCTGCACTAGGCAGGGACGCCCCGGAGAGCCCGCACTGGACAGGGATGCTCCCGGACATCTTGCACAAGACAGGGATGCCCCTGAGCAGCCCGCACTGGACACGGACACCCCGGAAAGCCCACACTGGATAGGGACGCTCCTAAACAGCCCGCACAGGACAGGGACACCCCTGGACACCCCACACAAGACAGGGACGCCCCTGAACAGCCTGCACTGGACGGGGACACCCCGGAAAGCCCGCACTGGATAGGGACACCCCGGACAGCCCGCACTGGACAGGGACACTGCAGACAGCCCGCACTGGATGGGGACACCCGGAAAGCTCGCACTGGATAGGGATGCCCTTGGACAACCTGCACTGGACAGGGATGCCCCTGGACACCCTGCACAAGACAGGGATGCCCCTGAGCAGCCCGCACTGGACACGGACACCCCGGAAAGCCCACACTGGATAGGGACGCTCCTAAACAGCCCGCACAGGACAGGGACGCCCCTGGACACTCCACACAAGACAGGGACGCCCCTGAACAGCCCGCAGTGGATGGGGACACCCCGGACAGCCCGCACTGGACAGGGACACTGCAGACAGCCCACACTGGATGGGGACAGCCCTGAGCAGCCCTCACTGGATAGGGACACCCCAGACAGCCCACACTGGACAGGGACACCCCAGACAGACCGCACTGGATGGGGACACCCCGGAAAGCTCGCACTGGATAGGGATGCCCTTGGACAACCTGCACTGGACAGGGATGCCCCTGGACACCCTGCACAAGACAGGGATGCCCCTGAGCAGCCCACACTGGACAGGGACACCCCGGACAGCCCACACTAGATAGGGGCACCCCTAAACAGCCCGCACAGGATGGGGACGCCCCTGAACAGCCCGCAGTGGACAGGGACGCCATGCACAGCCTCTGCCCACAGGTGTCTATCTAGGAGCAGGAGCAGGAGCCTGAGCTGCTGCAGAGCTCTGCCCCGTGAGTCAGCATGTGCCTGCATGTGCCTGTACCTGTGCACAGGCATGTGCAATGCATACCTGTGAGAGAAGAGAAGAGAGCAACACCACAAATGTGCTGGGAATTCTTTGTTTATGGTTCTGGGCATCTGCTATGAGTCCAGAGAGGAGGCTTGCTGCTCCCTTGGGGATCATCCTTTCCAGCCCCAGTCTGAGGAGGGAGCCCTGGACTGAGAGGGGAAACATGGTCTCACCTCCAGAAGGCCCAGTCTGAGGGGGGAGGGAGGAACGCCCCTGCTTCCAATTGCCCCTGTCTGAGGGAGGAGTCTCTTCTCTTGGGGAGCTGGCTGTCTGACACGGAAGATAGGCCTTACTGGTGATGTTTTGACCACTCATGTTCTATGCGTACACTATGGGATAGGAGCCAAGAAGGCACATGTACACTGGACCAGGACCCATTTGAGGGTCTCCTTGCTTTGGAGAAGAGCCAAGGAATCAGTGTACAAAGCAGGAGTAGCTTGGGCCTGAGAAGGGGCTGGAACAAGACCGGGAGGTGATGTGGGTAATTGTCCTGAGCTGGCTGGATCAGGCAGGGTCAGTCTGAGAGCAGATTGTGAGCTGGATTTTGAACATGCTGAGCCAGAGACAAGGATTAGGGCAAAGGGAACACTCCAGCCTATTATGGTGAAGAGGGATGAGTGGAACCTGGGCTACGGTCAATCAGGGAAGTCTTCCTGGAGGAGGGAAGGGTGGGGTCTGGGTTTTACTAATTGAGGCTGATGTGGGCATTACTGTACTTGGGGCTCATGTGACTTACCATCTAAGTCCTCCTGTGGTCTCTGACCCCTCCCAGGAGGGATCTGCCCCTTCCCATCTTTGTGTTTATTTCTCTCTCTCTCTCTCCCTGGGAGCCCAGGAATCTGATGCAGAATCTGTCTGGGTCAGTCTTCTCTGCCGTAGGCCCTGCTGGGGCCCATCATGGTGGCTTAGTTCTCAGAGGATGGTCTGGGAATCCATGTCCTGAGTGTGTTGTGATAACAATGAGGAGTTTACCAAGAACGACAGGCAATCATCATGGCCACTATGCCAATGACTGAGGAATCATTTATGGGAATTGGTTAGGTTCCCTCTCCCAGTTGTGCCACAGGAGGGGCAGCACCCTGTGGGCTGAGCAGGGGCCCTTGTTTCTGACCAGTCGAGCTCTAAAGCATGGTGTTGCCCCCACTGTTCCCTGGACCTGGCCTGCCACGGACGCCCCTTGTACATTTGCCAATCCACCAGTGCTTGCCGTTCAGGACTAGGCTGGGTCCCAGCACTCTTCCTCTGGATTTTCCTGCATGCTCCATGGGGTCTGTGGAGGTGCATGTGCTGCTGTACCTTGGGTGTGTTTTGCCATGTGTGCCCTCTACCGTTGTGAGCATGGCTGCAGTAAGGAATGCAGAAATAGGGCCTGTGGTTGGGAATCTCTAGTCATGACCAGAAGCATGGATGGCCAAGTGAGCCAGGCCTAGGGTCAGATACTTCCTGCCTGTCTGACCTAAGACTACTGGTTTCCGCAGACCTTCGAGGGCTAAGGGACCGGCTCACCCTAGACCTCCTGCCCTTTCCTGTAGTAGGGGTGGGGGGAGCGTGCAGTGGTTTCTACACTGGCTGCTGTGTCCTCATTTCCTCAGCCGTGGGCACAGGCTTGGTTGAGCTATTGGGACACATGCCCAGGACTGAACTCTTTCCTGTAAGTAGGAGCAGGTTCCGCTCCTGGGGTTTCCCCATGTCCACTGGTTTGATTACAGACTGTGCCTTTTCCCTGATGTGCTTACCCAGTTCCTGGCACATTCTTCTAGCAAGTCACTCAGCCTGCTGCCAGCCTGGCTCCTGCTCCCCCTCAGGCCCCGGGACTGTTGGTCCAGGTGGAGCATCTCTGCGGCAACTTTCAAGGCCTCGCTACTCAGCAAGTTCCGTGAATAAGCATGTGATGCTGGAAGGAGGTCATGGCTTATGTCTGCCTTGATCTTCTCCCTGGACCTGGAGCCTGGTTTCCTTAATTTCTGGATGAAGAAAGCTGTCTCCACTGGGACTGTTCTCAGGGGACTGCCTCCAAAGGAAGCATCCCTTGAAGGGCCAGGGATATGGGATGACATCATCTGCATCAACCTCATCCTCACCCTCACTGAGACAGGTCACTGTGGGCTCCATCCCAAGCTTGTGAACAGATCCTAAGATAGTCTCAGAAAAGCCACTTTTTTTGGTTCTAATGTGTGCTTTTTGGCACCTAAGCAGATACATGCCATGGGAAGAAACTTGAATAACTCCCCGTGCTTCTGTTTCCTCATCGGTCACATAGGGATGATTGTACCTGTAATGTCCACTTCAAAGGGTTATCAGATGAGGCAGTGTTATAGAAATATTTCAGAAGTATATTGTACTATTTGGGATAAGTAAGGTGCTATTATGCCAGGTCCACGCAGGAGAGGCCTGGTGACAATAGGTGTGCACTAAGTGCTTATTCACTAGTTGAAACTTGTTATTGTATATGTCAGGAGCAGCCCCATTTTTCTATTAAAAGGTTGACTCACCTCTCATCAAGGAAGTTAAATTGCATTTGGTTGATACATTTACATCCTGCCATGTTCCAAAAATGATTTACACAGGAGGGATGTGATAAAGGGAATTTCTGCATTGGATAAGGGATAGATCCAATGTTTAATTTTGTGTTCATTTATCCCCTCAATTACCATTAATCAAACACCTAGTATATACCAGGCCCCAGGAATGTGAAGTGATTTCTACTCTAAAAGGGCTCCCTGTCCCAAAGAAAAGGCAGATAAGAAACAGATGAATTATAACAAAGCAGGAAAAATGCTGTGATGCATAAAGATTTGGTGGAGTGGGGGAGAAGAATTAACTCAGTGTTAATAGGAGTGTGGGGAGGAGGATCAGGGATGGATGTGGAGCAGATGGTACCCGGGCTGGATGAGGAAGGACAAGGAGGGCTTGACTGGCAAAGAGGCATTCCAGGCAGAGGCAGGAAGTGGATGATACCACATCATGTCACCTAAGTAATTTGATGACAAATTACTCGTCTGTAAAATGGGGATTGTGATAGTACCTACTTCATAGGTTATTGTGAGGATTCAATGGATTGATGTAGATAAAGCACTTACAACAGTTCCTGGAACATGGTGGAAACCCAATCAATGTTATTTTGCTGTTATTTGTTCTTATTATTGGTTGTTGTTGCTGTTACTGTGTCTGCTAGGCACTGTGTGGGGTCCTGTGTGGGGTCCTGGGGAGGCAGGGATGGGTGGGCCAGTCTGGGTCCTCGAGGGCTCATAGTCTAGCTGGGCAGTCAGGCACTTGCAGTGCAGTTGTCATGGTGCATGCTCACCCAGCACTCACTTGCTCACTTATTCTGCACACCCTAAGTACTTCACATGTTCTTTGTGTAAACTTTTTATTAAAGTACAATACATATTAAGAAAAGCCTACAAATTGGGACACCTGAATGGGTCAGTGGTTGAGTATCTGCCTTTGGCTCAGGTCTTGATCCTGGGATCCTGTGATTGAGTCCTGCATCAGGCTCCCTACGGGAGCCTGCTTTTCCCTCCACCTGTGTCTCTGCCTCCCTCTGTGTGTCTCTCATGAGTAAATAAATAAAATCTTTAAAAAAGACAGAGAAGTCTACAAATCATAAATATTTTTCATCTATTATTAATCCTTACAATAGCATATGAGGTATATTCTATTTATTTTTTAGGTGGAAGCATTTAAGAAATTTAAATTTTTAATTGTGGCAAAATACATATAACATAAAATTTCCCATCTAAGGATTCAGTTGTATTAAGTACATTCACATTGTTGTGCATACAGTCCCCAGAACTCTTTTCACGTGGTCATTGAAACCCAGAAAATACTATCTGTTATCCCTCCCCCAGGCCCTGTCCCACACCATTCTTTCTGTCTTTATGAATTTTACTATCTTAGAAACCTCATATAAGTGGGAACCAACAATATTTGTCTCTACAAATATTTCTATTTGTAGAAATAGATGAAATATGCATCTATTTCATACAGTGTGATGTCCTCAAGGTTCATCCGTGTTGTAGCAAGTGTTAGACTTTCCATCCTTTTTAAAAGTTGAAAATACTGCATTATGTGAATATACCACATTTTCTATATTAATTCATCCTTGAATGGACAGTTGGGTAGTTTCTACATTTCAGCTACTGTGAATAATGCTGACGTGAATGAACATGGATGTGCAAAAATATCTATTTGAGACCCTGCTTTCAATTACTTTGGATATAGGTCTAGAAGTGGAATTACTAGGTCATATAGGAATTCTGTTTCTAACTTTTTGAGGAACCATCACACTGTTTTCCACAGCAAATGCACCATTTTGCATTCCCACCAACAGTGTACAGGGGTCCCAATTTCTGTACACTCCTACTAACACTTGTTATTCTGCTTTTGTGGAAGTAGCCAATCTCATGGGTCTGAGGTGATATCTCATTGTGGTTTTGATTTGATATCCTTAATGATTAGTGATGTGGAGCATCTTTTCATGGGCTTATTTGTATATCCTCTTTGGAGAAATGTCTATTGAAGTCCTTTGCCCATTTTTCAATCTGGGTAATTTTGTTGTTATTGAGTTGTAGGAGTTCTTTATGTATTCTGGATACTAACCCCTTATCAGTTGTATGATTTGCAAATATCTTCTCCCATTGTGTGGGTTGCAGATAGACTCTATTTTTAATCCCTGTTTAATAATTGAGGTCACAGAAGCACAGAGACAGTAATTGGCCCAAAGTCACACAGCTATAAAGTTAATGATATAATAATGAAGCCCAAAGGACTATGAGACATGAAGGAGAGGGAAGCTAATCCCATCTACTTCCCCCAGGAGGCGATCATGGCCTGTGTCCTGGAGAGGCATGGGGTAAATATCTGTTGAATGCCAGGAAGGAAACAGAGAGGAGAGTTTTCTCAGCAGAGTCATGTTCTTGTCTGGTCAGTTTCTGGCACATGAATCTCTGGGCCCTCCCATCTTTGCACTGTTCAAAACTCTGGGTGAACTGCTTTACCTTTCTGGATGTCAGTTGTCTGCAGACTGGGTGGGTTCTGTGTATGGCTTTCCTGGTAGACATGTTCTGAGGCTCTCCGTGTTTTGTAACAAGAGAGATGCCCCACAATCTTCAGCACTGGAAGCCAGTTAAACCAAGTGGCATCTCGTTGGAGGACAGGAGTACTTGTTCCTCCTGAAATCCTGGGGGATTGGCCACCTCCTCTTCTCCCCTTGGGCATAAAGCACTTCTGGCTTCCCCAAAGAACCCCTTCTCACCCTCACCCCACCCTCATGGAGTTGGGTTCCTCTTCAGCCTAGGCTCCTGGGGTCAGAGGCACACAATCTTCCCAGAGAGGGCTGAAGGGTCCCTCCTGTGTTTATGCAGCAACTCAGTGCCTCCTGCATGCAGAGGGATCCCACTCCAGCCTCCTTGTTCAGGGACACAGTGCACCCCCAGCTTCCAGAGCGAGAGAGCTGGGAAGAGGTGTGGGTGGCAGGAGAGAGCCTGATATAGCAGTGCATGTCCCACAGAGTCCAACCACGCACAAGCAACAACTTTTGTAGAAATAGTCCAGCTTTCACAACAAAAATCGAACAGCTAGGACAAGACCTCTTTTAGGAGTCTTAGGACCCTTTCAAGAATCTGATGAAAGCCATGGAGAAATGTGCTTATTTACGCAAATACTCAAAATGATACTTTGAACTCCAGCTCCATTTCAGAGATGCACAGACTCTACAGTGCTCGGGATTAGCAGCAGCAAGAGAGGAGGACTTGAGAGTGGGCATCCAGGCTGGCCGAGCCAAATGATGCCAGTGGCCCAGCAAAGGAGTCCTCACCATGGCCTCTTCCTGATTTATCCTGCTGGGCACTACTGCCTAGCAAATACCTTCCTCTTTCCATTTTTCCTACCCCCCACCTCCCATCAAAATTTTTCATTCTGTGCAGTGATTGCCCCATTCACCTGGTTGAGAAACCAGAGGCTGTGGCAACCTGGGGAGGGAGGGGCTATCTGCATGGCCTAGGGCCCTGGCAGCTGGCCACAGCCTGGCTGCTATAAAGGGGAGCTGCCACTGAGCCCTGCATATCCTCTGTCAACTCTGTTTCGGGAAACTTGGTAAGTAAGACTGCCTCAGTCTTCTCCATGCTTTGGGGCTGCCCCCCACCCTGGGAGGGCCAGAGGTGGAGCAGAGAGGGGAGAGAAAGCTAAGGGAGGTCTGGAGCAAGATCCAGAGCTCTTGGAGGAAGTCAGTGAGACAGGGATGAAGACCGAGCTGGGTCCTCTGTGCTATTGGTTGGCTGAGGGCACAGGGAGAGTCAGCAGGCACTGTATGTTTGTGTGGACCTTCCCCGTCCCACCCCTTCCCATCACAGCCACAGCCATCTGCTGGGTTTAGTTATTTGAATGGTGCAGGCCTGGATGAAGCCATTACTTGGAGTAATGAGTATTCCCCTAGTTTTCACTCTGCTGGGGCAGAGGAACCATCCCCATCCTGGGATTCCCCATGTGTTTCATGTTGCAGGTGGGGCAGATCCTTGGGCGCCATGCTGACGGAACTGGAGAGTGCCATAAACTCCCTCATTGAGGTTTACCACAAGTACTCCCTGGTGAAGGGGAATTACCACGCCCTCTACAGAGATGACTTGAAGAAATTGTTAGAGACAGAGTGTCCTCAGTACATGAAGGTGAGGAGGGGCTGGGTGTGGCAGGGGTCTCTGTCTGGCTAATGAAGCCCTGGGTCCCTGGTCCCCTACGCCAGCCTATGCAGACAGCCATGGCACAGCTCTTGCCAAGGTCTTTACGCACTGGCTTCTTTCTCCTCCATCTTGACAGAAAAAGGATGCAGACACCTGGTTCCAAGAGTTGGATATCAATAGCGATGGTGCAATTAACTTCGAGGAGTTCCTCATATTGGTGATAAAGGTGGGCGTGGCCTCCCACAAAGACATCCACAAGGAGTAGCAGAGCCCTGGGCCCCGGGGCTGTCCCTGCCGAATAATAAAGTAGTTGATACCTCAGGCCTCTTTTGGTGTCTTGCCTTTCTCTTGTGGAATGAGGTTCCAAGGGGGTGGAAGGAGGGGTGGGAAACCCAAAAAAACTAAAACAAACCTCTGTTGCCCAGCTCTCCTCTCACATACCTTCAGTGCTTATCACTCACCTGGTTTCCTCCCACTTTCTCCTCCAGCTAATCCTGTCTCTTCAGTCCCATTGTCTAAAAGTATTGGTTCTATTTATTCAGGATTCCAAAAAGTCCATGATACTGGAGATGGTGATTTTCCTATCTGTTCCCAAATGAGTGATATGGGAACAGGGTGATATAGGGAAAACTTATACTGCTTTCTTTCTTTCTTTTTTTTTTAAGATTTTATTTATTTATTTATTTATTTATGAGAGAGAGAGAGAGAGAGAGAGAGAGAGAGAGAGAGAGAAAATACAGGGGGGGGGGACCCTGAGATCATGACCTGAGCTGAAACTGAGTCAGACACTTAACTGACTGCACCATCCAAGTGCCCCTCATACTGGTTTCTAAGTTAAATTTTAGTGTCAAACCAAATGTTTTAGATGTGACTCTCGGGAAATTAGGGAGATAACTAAGTAGGCATGCGTGTATGTGAGAGAGAGGGAGAAAGATGGATTCTGTTAGTGTTATGGCTGTAGATGGTGTTCAGAGTCCTATATTAAGTAACCCTAACAACCCCCAGTCCTACATTTGTAATTTCTCCTTGGAGATTTTGGAAGATTTCCTTCTCGCTCTGTTTTCAGCCTCCCAACATGATGAAACAATAAAGGAATAGGTAAATAGGCTAATGTATTCCTAAAACTGAAGTCACAGAATACGGCACTCAAATGCTGCCCTTGCAGGGTGGGGTGTGATGCTCTGCTGCTCAGTGAATATCTACAACAACTTCCTGATCATCACCAGTAAAATGGGAAGGCCAGTGATGGATAGGTGCCTCTCACCAGAACCCAGCCCCAAGCTGCGTTTCCAGACTGTGCATTGGGAAATTTTCTGTTGTGCCCACTTAGGTGATGGGGCAGTGGTGCTAGTGACGGAGACGGAGGTAGGGAGCTGTCACTAGCATCTGTAAACCAGAGTTCTTAACTTGGTTTACTGTACATCACTGAAATGGAGCTGGAGTTCAAAGTATCATTTTGAGTATTTGCGTAAATAAGCACATTTCTCCATGGCTTTCATCAGATTCTTGAAAGGGTCCTAAGACTCCTAAAAGAGGTCTTGTCCTAGCTGTTCGATTTTCGTTGTGAAAGCTGGACTATTTCTACAAAAGTTGTTGCTTGTGCGTGGTTGGACTCTGTGGGACATGCACTGCTATATCAGGCTCTCTCCTGCCACCCACACCTCTTCCCAGTTCTCTCGCTCTGGAAGCTGGGGGTGCACTGTGTCCCTGAACAAGGAGGCTGGAGTGGGATCCCTCTGCATGCAGGAGGCACTGAGTTGCTGCATAAACACAGGAGGGACCCTTCAGCCCTCTCTGGGAAGATTGTGTGCCTCTGACCCCAGGAGCCTAGGCTGAAGAGGAACCCAACTCCATGAGGGTGGGGTGAGGGTGAGAAGGGGTTCTTTGGGGAAGCCAGAAGTGCTTTATGCCCAAGGGGAGAAGAGGAGGTGGCTAATCCCCCAGGATTTCAGGAGGAACAAGTACTCCTGTCCTCCAACGAGATGCCACTTGGTTTAACTGGCTTCCAGTGCTGAAGATTACTTACTGCAGATTATTGGGCTTTTGTCTGCAGTAGACTTTAATCATACAACAATGGGAACAAGTGAGAAAGGGTAACAGCTTAAACCTTTATCCATCTACCAAAGCTTTAATTATTAGCCAATTTCATTATCAGCTAACATATTGGTGAAAATGGTTGTCAGCCAGCAGAGAATCAAGATTGGGGCCTATGGAGCCTTTGTGTACTTGTTGGTGGGAATGCAAACTGTGGAAACAGTATGGCAGTTCCTCTAAAATTAACAATAGAAATACCATATGATCCAGTAATTTCACTACTGAGTATTTATCCAAAGACAGCTAAAACATTAATTCAAAAAGATGTATGCACCCCTATGTTTATTACAGCATTATTTACAATAGACAAGATATGGGAGCAACCCAAGTGTCCATCGATAGATCAGTGGGTAAGGAAGATGTGGTATATATAGACAATGGAATATTCCTCAGCCATAAAAAGCAGTGAGATCTTAACATTTGCAACATCATGAATGGACACAGATGGTATTACGCTGAGTGAAATAAATAAGACACAGACATATACCATCTGATTTCACTTACATGTGGAATCTAAAAAACAAAACAAATGAACAAACAAACAAAAAGCAGAAACAGATCCATAAATACAGATAGAGAACAAACTGATGGTTGCCAGAGGGGAGGGGGGTTGGTGGAGGACTGGGCAAAATGCATAAAGGGGTGTGGGGATATAGGCTTCTAGTCATGGAATGAGTAAGTCATTGGAATAACAGGCACAGCATAGGGAATATAGTCAATGATACTGTAATAGCATCGTATGGTGACAGATGGTAGCTACACTTGTTAGTACAGTATAACGTATAGGAGATATCCAATCTCTATGTTGTACATGTGAAACTGATGTAGCATTGTGTGTCAACTATACTTCAGAATACATTTAATTAATTAAAAAAATAAAAGATTGGGACCTAGAATGGGATAGGGAAATCTATTATCAAATATGGAGATGGGCTTCTGCTGAGCAAGTGGGAGGCTCAGGGCCAAGCTTGCTTCCTCCTCAGTTTTCCTGAAGGACAGCTTTATCCATCCTCCAAAGCAGTGCTTCCACCTTGTTGGGAGTATGAACACACTCTCTGCATTGCAGAAATGGAGATAATGCGGTTCTGAGAGGTAATTTAAAGGTGAGCTATTGGCCCAAATGTGGCCCAAACAAAAGAAGATGGGAAAGTTTTACAGGGTTCACCAAGCCGTACCCCAGGCCTCACTCAGCATTTAGGAAATGTAATGGGAGAGTGCACAAAAGGGGAGAGCAGCTAGTTTGCCTCTCGGTAATCCACAGTGGTGGTGGTGGTGGTTGATGGTGGTGTGCATGCATGTATATGCCTGGGTCAGGTGGAGGCAACATATCCCAGTGCCTTTGATTCTCCTTGACAATGCACTCAATGCTGTTAATGGGTTCTTTAGGCAGAGATTTACCATTATTAATCATTTGCCTTCAGTTGAAAACCCAGTGAGTGCTTTCTCTGAGCCAGCTTGGAGATACCATGGAGAAGGTGACCCAGAGTACCCTTCGCAGTTTCACCATGAGTAATAGGCCCACTGGTTGTGAAGAATCACATTGGTACAAGGCTGTCAACAGTTGATACGTGAACTCATTGTTGGGCAGGGAGGTGGCCCAGCTGGTACTGGCAGCCTGGAGAAAGAGGTGGAGATGAGGGAGGTAGTCCTTGGAAGCTTGTAACTTGTGAATAGACTGTGCCCGTTACAGGAACCACTGGGCAGAGCCAGACTGGGCTTGTAGCCCAGAGCAAGGTGATTTGGTTTCCTGTTTCCCCAGCTACAAAAGAAGAACAGGCAGTGGGAAGTTGAGAAACAAGTTGTTTAGCAGGAAATGTCACGCAATGTTTGAATCCACCAAGGAGACCTTGGCTCACCAGTTGAGGCAGATCCGGCCGCTGAGATTTCCGGGGCTGTAAGGATGACCTGTCTGAAATCTGCTTCTCCACCCAGGTTCTCCACCCAAGGCTCCTGACTTTAGCCAAGTTCCTCATGTTTTTGACAAAAGTCCTAAAGGGCATGGAGAGGATCTGGAATTGGGCAGCTGGTATCTAGCACCTGAACAAAATAGCTTATTTCAATGGAAGAGACTTCCCCATGCATCCCTCCACTTGAGAACCATGACACTTGGGTTGGATTCAGATACTAGTCTATTCTCTGGCTGCCTGGCTTGGGGAATGCAGCCTAAATTCAGATGGGCTGAAGAGGGCAGGGAAAGCTACCAACACTCACCAGGTTCCTGCTGGGTGTTAGTATGAAAGGAAGAAAATCATCTTGAGCCCAGAAAAAGACAAAATGCTAGAGTCTGTCTGAATAGAAACAAGTCCTGACTCATTAATCTTCCAACAACTGACACTTTTGGGAAATGTAAAATGCTTGTATTTCATTAGCGAGTCAGAATGGTACAGCTTGATGTGGTGATAGGATTTCATAGCCTCGTAGAGATGTTAAACCTCTAACTGTCATGATATTTTCACCCTGTTGGAAGTTGAGTCTTGCATCTCACTTAAGAGACTTACTTAGGCATTCCTTTCCTGACCGTATATATCCTTGAATACTCTTCAAATCAGCTTTTAAAGTCTTTGCCGATTCTCTCATTAATGAATTAAAACAAGAAATTTGACACGTGCCCACTATATTTGTTGATAATTTTGCTTTTTAGCACTAGACTTTATGATAGTTTATCTCATTCATTTTTCGTTACAACCTTATGAGAGAGGTAATTACTATTTCCGTTTTACATATGAGAAGATTCAGAGAAGTTAAGAACCTTGACAAAATTTGTTAATCTGGGGATCCCTGGGTGGTGCAGCGGTTTGGCGCCTGCCTTTGGCCCAGGGCGCAATCCTGGAGACCCAGGATCGAATCCCACATCAGGCTCCCGGTGCATGGAGCCTGCTTCTCCCTCTGCCTATGTCTCTGAGCCTCTCTCTCTCTCTCTGTGACTATCATAAATAAATAAAAATTTAAAAAAATTAAAAAAAAATTTGTTAATCTGGCAAGTGGCAGAGCTAGGGTTGGATCCCTGACTGTCTCCAGGAGAGAAACTCTGGCTAAGACCCCAAAGTGTAGTCTTTTAGTGGGCTTCCATCCTGAGTGTGCACAGAGCAGCCCTTCCTCTGTGTTTTCTGGCCTCTTTGTCCTCATCTGCTGCAGGGTCTCTGCCACCCAGGGCTGAGGAGCAAGGCACAGCAGGTGCCAGAATAAGCTTCTCACTTGGGCCCCTCTCCTCTGTCCAGGACATCATC